CTTATGTGCAGTAAAATTGCCTTCCGGTTAGAATCATCTATATATACCTTAAAAATATACCTTATCCTGGTACTTTGGCAACAAAGTACCAGAATAAGGTATATTTTTGTGTGGAAATTGTCACAGCCAATCAGCATGCAACATCTATAATTCCAAGTGTAATAACATTATATTTTTACCCATCATCCATGGAACTACATAGAGTATGATAAAAAAATTTCAAAAAGGAACAAAAAAAATAGCAAACATTAGATCATAAAATTAAATCAAAAAATATAAAACTTTATTTTAAATTAAAAGTTTCACTGCCATTGTAAAAAATTTCCATAATTCATTGCAAATTACCTTCCATTTTATGCAAAGCGCGTAGGCACAAAGGGAAGCGACTGAGTCACTCTACACAGCGGCACAATTGTGCTAAGTGGAAAGCCAGAATCAGTGTTTCGTCGGTTGCACAAACTGATGTAAAACATAATGCTTATCTAGACCAGTGTTCTGCAACCTTTTTCTACTCGCGGCACACCTATGACTCAACATGACTCAACACGGCACNAATTTTTTTTTTTTTGCAATAAGAAAATTGTCATTATCCATTTAGTATAAAATAACAGAAAAATATTTTAAGGTGATTATAAATGCTGAGTCTATGTATCGTTCTTTTTTTTAAGAAAATGCAACACGACTGCATTCTATGTGAATGCAGACATTTAAAAGTCTAAAAAATATATGCAGCTATTAAAAAAAAAATCTGTTTATTTTTTAAGTTATGGCAACACAACACTTGGGTGATCTGCCTAGGGGGAATGCCTTCCAAGAGATCTTTTAAGAGAAACTGGCCCCTATTTAAGTGTTACAACTTGGAGAAAACCCGGAAAACTCCACATGGCCAGCCCGTCCAAGTGAGGCGCAAACCCACAACCAAACTCCCAGTGTTCAGTGTATGAAGACAAGTGGTGAGCCTAAAAAAATCTGAAAAATACCTATAAAAGTACATCATATATACAAGGCAATTAAAAAAAAACCACTTGTGAAAATTATTGCAAAGAGTTTGACACTACTGTGAATCTAACTTTGAGAACTGTGAGTCAATCACATTTGTTGTACCATTCAGTGTCATCAAATTCCTCACACTATTTCTCAAGAATTCTATTTTTGTTTGATTACCTTGTGTAATTAATAATGTATAATTAAAATATATACTTTATGTACAGTATACATTAAGATAATCTATATAAATTGTTTTATTAAAGTTTTACCTCTTCTTCCAATGTTTGGAGAATATGCTCCTTAAAAAATTTTTTCAACCATTCCCATTGTTTCTGAAAAATTTTTAATTCAGAATTAATATAATACATATATATTTATACTTATAAATAAAATAAGTACAGTAGATGCTTCATTTACAACTTAGTTATTGGAAGCAAGTTAGGTCAACCATAATAAATTGAAATGTGACTTTCCATAGATTCAGTGTAATAAATTGAGGTTCTCTATCAAACCAATTTCATATTTTAAGACATGATGATGCCAATTATAAATTATTATGCTTACAATCACTTAATAAAATTGTTTTTTTTTATATAGGTTTCAATAATTTCAAAGCCCTTTACAATTTTTTAAAGTATAATTATANATAAACAATAGGTCAGCCAAGTGGCAAAATATGAAGCATGATACATTTAGGGCAAACCATTCTTAAAAATTAGAATTCAACAGGATTCAAGCTCAGGTTCCTCAAAACAGTACACTGAAGCATTTACCATCTCACCATCCATCCATCCATCAATACAAGTTAGTTTTAGTTACTTTGAAAATACTATACATAAATATATGAATGAATAAAGTCAGTTTCCACTACAGCTTATAGATCCATCACTCTCAATGATTGCACATGTCTACAAACATCCCAAACAACAACAGATCAAACAAAATATCTATTTGAACATTGATGGAATTGCCATCACTATCCATCATCCAATCACAGTTGTCCTATCAACTATAGACCAATACAGGGTCAACTAGTTTCCAAGTTGTTAGATAAGTTTTAGAACAGTTTGATAAGTTGTTAGAGGTCAGCATTCTTTGAAATACTTTTTGTATTTCAAAGATGGCTGACATCTAACAACTTATCAAACTGGTGCAAAAAAAAATCTTTATTTATGTGACAAATCTGTATACTAAAATCTAAAAAAAATACATAAACTTCCATTGGAAGGCACTTTCCACTTTTATGCTGGCTCTCCACTTAGCATAATTTTGAGGCAATTCAATCGCCTTTGTCACTGCTTATGTGCAGTAAAATTGCCTTCCGGTTAGAATCATCTATATATACCTTAAAAATATACCTTATCCTGGTACTTTGGCAACAAAGTACCAGAATAAGGTATATTTTTGTGTGGAAATTGTCACAGCCAATCAGCATGCAACATCTATAATTCCAAGTGTAATAACATTATATTTTTACCCATCATCCATGGAACTACATAGAGTATGATAAAAAAATTTCAAAAAGGAACAAAAAAAATAGCAAACATTAGATCATAAAATTAAATCAAAAAATATAAAACTTTATTTTAAATTAAAAGTTTCACTGCCATTGTAAAAAATTTCCATAATTCATTGCAAATTACCTTCCATTTTATGCAAAGCGCGTAGGCACAAAGGGAAGCGACTGAGTCACTCTACACAGCGGCACAATTGTGCTAAGTGGAAAGCCAGAATCAGTGTTTCGTCGGTTGCACAAACTGATGTAAAACATAATGCTTATCTAGACCAGTGTTCCGCAACCTTTTTCTACTCACGGCACACCTATGACTCAACATGACTCAACACGGCACACCAAAATGTTATTCCTCTGAATAACGTATGATATGATACTATTAATAGAATTTCGTAATGCCATAAACTCAATTATGTTGAGTTTTGTGAGTTACACTAGGTGGACACCGATGGCTGTGTACTATGCCAGACCAGAGTCAAGGCATAGTAACTTCCAAAAAAAAAAAAAAAAAATTAAATAAACGTGTCATTGTGTGTCTGTATTCAGGAATTTCCTAACAATATGACATGTATTCAATATAGAGGCCTTCTGTAGTGTGATGTATGTGTTTCTATTCAGCTTCTGAGTACAAATTCACTGAGTACGGCGTTAATAAACTTCATTTAGTATTCACACAAGTACTTTCGACGTTTGTATAACCGTCGTCATCAGGCGAAAAGAACAAGTTTTTAAGAAAGCGAACGTGCAGGATGTTCCAAAAGAACATAATATTTAAATTCAAACAAGCGTCCGGAAATTTCGTTACGAACGTGCGAATAATTTTGATATTTCGAATCTTTATATTTTAAGATGTTAGCGGCGCATGCGTGGAGATGCTACCGCGTTTGGCGATACGATGTTGGGCGCATTTCGTTTTTTAGGCGCCGATACAAGGCAATCCACACCCCGGGTAGATCGAGGGTGGGAACATTGCATGCTTCTGAAGTGGCCGTGAGAAGCGCTTCCCAGATGAACACAAGTCTTCGATTGTTGCAGCATTTAATTATTGCCGTTCTGGGCCATAACGGGTTGTATCCTTGCTCGAGAACTTTTTTAGCGAGTTCTGTAGAGCATCTTCCTTTAGCTATATCTTCCTGATGCTCAGCAAGGCGGGAGGCGAGCATTCTTGTTGTTGCTCCTATATATCTTGTAAC